CCCCCCCCCCCCCCCCCCCCCCCCCCTTCCCCTCCTCTCTTCGGGCCTTTGCATTCTGGTACACCGCGCACTAGCTTAACATGTGCCCCCATGTCTCTGCGGAGAGTCACTCTACAATGGTAGTGAGCTAGACTACGGGGTTGGCACCAACTACTAGAGGTGATCGCAGCTTTGCTTAATTCCTTAGTGCTTGCGCATTCACGGGAGTAATCGGTAAGAGTTTCCACTAGGCCAAGTCGAAATTACAGAATCATAGAACAAGAGATGGCAACAACGACTACATCAGGCACCTAGCAACCCTGCAGCTAGCCTGGTTGACCGCCAGCACAGCTCGGTCGACCACCTGCCAGCGTTGCGTAGAGGAGCCGCGCCAGCACTGAGAAGGGCGACCTGCCAACAGAGCAGGTCGACGGCGTGCCAACGCTGCAGCTGAGCGGCTGTCTAGCATTGCCCCGTAGAACACAGCAGTGCGCACACTCGCAGGTGCGCGCAGACGATTGGCCTGACTTGCCTCGTTGGGCATCCGTCGGCTGTTGTTTGCGCCTGACGAGCCACATCGACTTCGCGATACCAGCCCGAAGTTGCCTGCGCCATTGCGACCTTGACGACGTTCGCGTGCCTCCGCAGAACTCGTCGAGCAAGTTACCCAGTCGACCCGGTCGACCACCAGGTGCTTCCGGTCGACCACCACTGCTTCTGGTCGACCACCAAGTCCCTCTGGTCGACCACCAGGTGCCTCTGGTCGACCACAACTCCCGTCAAGCTACCCTCTGGTCGACGGACCCCTTCTGTCGACCAGAATCGTTAGCAGTTGTCGCCGAGCTCCCCTCGTCGACCGCTGCTCACTTGTCAGGTTGACGGACTGCTCCGTCGACCTCTCGGTCGAACTGCAGGTCGAAAGAATGCTCCCGGTCAAGCTGCAGGTCGACGGGGACCCCCCGGTCGAGCTGCAGGTCGACGGAGGCCTCCCGGTCGAACTGCCCCTCCTGGTCGACGTCCCATCCATCGCCCAGACCAGTCAGTTGCAGCTGTCGAGCTCCTTGGTGGACGGCAGCACCACAGCGGTCCCTTGCAGCTCGACGATGCCTGTCGAGCAGCTCTCCCACTGTGAACGGTCGGCTGCTACTCCCGTACAACCGACCAATTCGTCGGCGTTGCCCAAGCGAGGGCGGGGCCAACACTCAATTCCGGTTAACAGTCTCATGCCCGCAGGTTCCGCTAACCATCCTCTGGATGGAGGTCACCTAGTCATGCGTCAACGCTTTGCGCCGAGGGTTGACTTGCTACCACCCTTCCTCTCACCAGTTTTTTTTAGCTTGTGTGAGGTCACCTTTGACGAGTTTGTCTCTTTTTACACTCGCACCATCTCTCTCACTCAGTCACAAGTGGTGCAGCATATCCTACGGTATAGTTCTCCGGCCTTTTTCCTCTGCACAGCCCACTCCTCTACTTGTTGGCGATATGTTATCGGCCCCTGTCCCGGACAAGCCTGTTGAGCCGAGTGGTCTGTCCACAGAGCTGATGGGGTGCCTCAAATCCTATCTAGAGGCAAGGGTGCCTGATGTACCTAATGACCCGCACTCGACCAGTTTTCGCATATTCTCTCAACATCCCTTGCTCTCTTTGTTGCAACTGGGAGAGAGCACTGTTCGACTGCTGAGAGGGTATTGTAGTATCTGGATAGTACAACCGGCATGGGGTTTGTGCTAGGAGGACAACAGTCAGTTCCACCCACGGGACACAATGACGCATTGTTGGTGCACGACATCGAAACTCTCAGCTACTCCTCGGGCTACTGCTTTAGCCATGGTGCACGCGCGGCCGTCACCACCACATCTGTACGCCCCCATGTATAATCCATTATGTTCTTTACAAAGAAGTCCCCGCCTTATTAGAATATGCACCCATAGAAGACAACAGTGTGTTCAATGCAACACAGTCTTCTATCCGGGCGACACCTTGGTGCCATTTATGGATGCACGAGCTATTATAAAGCAACGGTTTTGTGGAGAAATAATCGATGGCAAACGTAAAACACTCGGCAATGCTGCTTCACATGCATGTATCTCATCAGACTGATGGCCACTTCCAGATTACCACCATTTTCGTACACTAAAGCTCAGTAGACTCCCTACCATCATGTTCTGTAGAATTGTCAGATCAGACGGTCTCAATCAACGGCTGTAAGAGGGAGTTGCCAGAGACGATGTTGGTTGTGATGATGAGGAACGACGTGATTGCCGAATCCTGCTCAGCACCGGAAACAGCGTACACGCAAGAGGGAGAGGTGAAGATCAGGCAAGTATAGAGCATGGGAGTGGGAACCTAGTTGTATTACACACATTTATCTCATTCCTCCAACCTCCACCTGTAGGGAGAGAGCGCCAGCGAAAAAAAACATGGAAAAATTCACAAGAGAGTGAACCTCGCTCGCACAGCAACATTTTACTCGATTGAAAAACGACTGATTCCAGAGACTCCGGAGAAGCATCAGCCTATTTAAAGGTAGCAGCAGAGCCGCCCAACCAGCTGAGTGTGTCTGGGGAATCTTCAGAACTCAAGGTGCGCAAATGCACACACATGCTAAGACGCCTGCACGAAGACATCCATGCATACAGGCACGCACCTGCATGGAGAGGAAGCGCAGAGCAGCGATCTCAGCGAAGGTGACGCCCCCCAGGAACAACTTCCGACAGCCCCCAGCCATATCTTGAGCTTCCTTAGGACTCAAAGGGCCTTGCTAGCTCAACAAACTCACGGCCCCACATGCACGCACCTGCATGGAGAGGAAGCGCAGAGCAGCAACCTCAGCGAAGGTGACGCCCCCCAGGAATACAGCAGCCACCAGACGAGGCACCGACTCCGATGGCCCTCTGCGCATGGCGGACGGGGTCCGGTTGGTGACGTCCCGATGGGTGGTGCCGTCAGGGGACTGGTAGTGGGTGGTGGGAGAGAGAAAATAAAGGACAGGCTTGTGCATCGTGTATTGTGTATCGTTGAGAAGGCTCAGGAAAACAGCCGCCACGAGGCGAGGCACGGACTCAGAGAATGGGGTCCAGTTGGTGATGCCCCGATGGGTGGTGCCGTCAGGAGACTGAAGGTGGGTGGTGAGAGAGAGGAGGAGCAGCAGACGAGGAAGGAATGTCGAGAAAACCACTATACGAGGGCAAAAGAGCAACAGTAAAAGCAAGCCACTTATGCAGAAACTCTCACTGCAACCTCATGGTTTTCACTTGGTTTCTCGCCATTGCATGGAATGACATATCCTAATCATTGTTTGAATTATGAGTCCTAATGTAGAATGTGTGTGTTGAGTCACTAGTACCTTACTATTGCTAGTCGCGTCACGGCTTCCCCCTTTCCCCCTCCCCCCCTTACCCCCTTTTGTTTCCTCTTTCCTCTTTAGTCAGGTGCCAAACGTTTGTTGTGCCAGAAATGCACGCACAAAAGTTTTTACCCAATAGCCATGATCCCAAGAAAAAAATATGCTCAATGTTTTTTCAGAACAATTCTCGAACCACTTAACTTGGTACATTCTTGCTGAAGTTTATCATGTGGAAAGTACTAGGGAAGGGACATGTTCTGAGGTGGAGGTGCCTCCCAGCTTACCTGCTCCCACTCAAAAGTTGGTCCTGTGGCAGTCTTTGTCACTTCGTCCATCGCTCTCCTGGCATGCACAAAAAACCATTACGGGCGAGAGGCAAGAGATAAAACAAATCTGGGACTAAAGAGAAGATGGTAGCATCAATGAAGGAGAAAATACGAAACGGTAGAATCAAAAGTCAATGAGGACTGTGTGAGTTTCTGCAATGGGGTTGGATGGGTGAATTTTGAGTCGACTCAAGAGGAGATACGAAATGATGAAATCAATGAGGACTGTACGGTGACTCACCAGCCTCCAGGTTGGATGGGGTGACTTTTGAGTCGACTCAAGAGGAGATACGACATGATGAAATCAATGAGGACTGTACGGTGACTCACCAGCCTCCAGGTTGGATGGGGTGAATTTTGAGTCGACTCAAGAGGAGATACGAAATGATGAAATCAACGAGGACTGTACGGTGACTCACCAGCCTCCAGGTTGGATGGGGTGACTTTTGAGTCGACTCAAGAGGAGATACGAAATGATGAAATCAATGAGGACCGTGGGGTGACTCACCAGCCTCCAGGTTGGATGGGGTGACTTTTGAGTCGACTCAAGAGGAGATACGAAATGATGAAATCAATGAGGACTGTACGGTGACTCACCAGCCTCCAGGTTGGATGGGGTGACTTTTGAGTCGACTCAAGAGGAGATACGAAATGATGAAATCAATGAGGACTGTACGGTGACTCACCAGCCTCCAGGTTGGATGGGGTGACTTTTGAGTCGACTCAAGAGGAGATACGAAATGATGAAATCAATGAGGACTGTACGGTGACTCACCAGCCTCCAGGTTGGATGGGGTGACTTTTGAGTCGACTCAAGAGGAGATACGAAATGATGAAATCAATGAGGACTGTACGGTGACTCACCAGCCTCCAGGTTGGATGGGGTGACTTTTGAGTCGACTCAAGAGGAGATACGAAATGATGAAATCAATGAGGACTGTACGGTGACTCACCAGCCTCCAGGTTGGATGGCCTGTTGCAGGAGGCGCACACTTAGAGGGGCATAGCCAGAAAACGTGAACGCAATGTCCCTGGGACTGGTTGGGGGGCATGGGAGAAGAGAGTGATGTGGAGGGATGTGCAGGGATGTGGATGGATGTTAATCTGAAGCTAGCTGGCTTCCGAGGTGACACAAAAGGCAGGGGCTTACTCGGAGAACGAGAATGCAATGTCCCTGGGGCTGGATGGGAGGCACGAGGGAGGGCGGGTGAGGAAGAAGAGTGAGTGAGGTAGAAACAAGGAGTGACCGAATGAGAGGGTGAGGGTGAGGAGCTAAGAGAAGGAAGAGGAGAGGGGAAGATGTGCAATTGCGAACATGTGCAGTTGTGACAAGTGCAGTTGTGACATGTACAGTTGTGACAAGTGCAGTTGTGACATGTACAGTTGTGACATGTGCAGTTGTGACATGTGCAGTTGTGACATGTGCAGTTGTGAACCCTGTGGACTTGAACTGACATTGTTATCACCCTTGCACCCTTATCATCACCATCACCATCACCATCACCATCACCATCACCATCACCATCACTATCACTATCATCACCACATACAAACTCACGCCACCACTCGCTCTCTCGCTTGGCGTCATAATTACGATCATCAGCGTCACACACCACCACACACCACCCAACACCACCACTCAACACCACCCTTCTCTCGCACTTGGCATCATCATCGTCATCCACTATGAGCCTCAGGCTCCGCTTCACTGCAACCCATGTGCTGCGGCCCTCCTGCACGCACACAGCACAAGTAGTGAAGCACGGAGGACTTTTTGAGTCAACTCCAAAGTCAACCTCCTGTACGCACGACATGAGGTCCTCATAGCATAGCATAGCACAGGACAGCACAGCACAGCACAGCACAGCATGTCATGTCATGTCGGCGTAGGTTTCAAGATGCTCAAAATTCCACAAGAGAAGAACACCATGAGATTATTTATGCTTTAGTGATTCAAAACCCACCTGCCTGGTACCCACCTGCCTGGTACCCACCTGCCTGGTACCCACCTGCCTGGTACCCCACCTCCCTGGTACCCCACCTGGCGTTTGATCAAGCCTGCGCGCTCGAAATTGTCAAGAGAAAAGACGTGAAGGAAGCCGTAGGCCTGCAGGAACTCGCGCCTGATAGGTGTGATACAATGGGATGGAATGGGATGGGATGGGATGGGATGGGATGGGATGGGATGGGATGGGATGGGATGGGATGGGATGGGATGGGATGGGATGGGATGGGATGGGATGGGATGGGACGGGACGGGACGGGATGGGATGGGATGGGATGGGATGGGATGGGATGGGATGGGATGCAATGGGGCGTTGTGGTGTGAGTGGAAGCAGCAAGACATAAGAGAGGTTCTAAAAAGTAGCACAAAAGCTCAGCTTTCACACACGGCGTACCTGAGATGGTCGAAGCGTGCCTTGGGAATACCGCCATTGGTGAGGGAGACAAGGGAGAGGAGGCGTAACACCGTGCTCATGGGATGCCCCTGTGCCATGGCGTCCTCTATGTACTCACACGCCCTGCAGTCACACATTCATACACAATCAGACACATGCAGACTCATGCACACGCATACATATATGTAGCTCAGACTCTTTGTAGCTATCTCTGTGACATGGCATCCTCTATGTACTCACACGCCCTGCAGTCACACACACAATTGGGCGTAATTTTTGCATATAGATACAAATCAACATCTCCAGAGATCCCTGTGCCATGGCGTCCTCTATGTACTCACACGCCCTGCAGTCACAGACACATTTGGGCATAAATCCGCACAGATCAGAGTTACCATGGGACGGTAGGACAGCAGAACAGGGCACTCACGTCAAGTACCATCAGACACATAGGGGAGCCCATTTGCGAACGTACAAGTCGATGGAGCGTGCTTCCAGAATAGCCTGCTCCGTGGAGATGCGATGAGAGCTACCATGTGTTGATTGCATACCACAGCAGCACACAGCGCGCAGGGCACAGGGCACACAGTGGTGAACGTACGAGTCGATGGAGCGTGCTTCTAGGATGGCTTGCTCCGTGGAGATGAGAGCGCCAAAGGCCGGCCGGTTGGTGTTCGAACATAATTCTTCCCAGGCCCAAAGGAAAAAGAACAACAGTGAAAGCATGTGCCACCCACACACGTACGAGTCTATGGAGCGTGCTTCCAGGATGGCTTGCTCCGTGGAGATGAGAGCGCCAAAGGCCGGCCGGTTGGTGACTTGTGAGATGTGCCCCGCTAGGTTGGTGTGGCGCTGGTGAGGGAAGGGATGTTACAAGGAAGGGAAGGGGGGAGAAGGACAGGAGAAAGGGGGAAGTGGTGAGCGCCTAAGGCCGGCCGGTTGGTGACTTGTGAGATGTGCCCCGCTAGGTTGGTGTGGCGCTGGTGAGGGAAGGGATGTTACAAGGAAGGGAAGGGGGGAGAAGGACAGGGAAAGGGGGAAGTGGTGAGCGCCAAAGGCCGCCGGTTGGTGACTTGTGAGATGTGCCCCGCTAGGTTGGTGTGGCGCTGGTGAGGGAAGGGATGTTACAAGGAAGGGAAGGGGGGAGAAGGACAGGAGAAAGGGGGAAGTGGTGAGCGCCTAAGGCCGGCCGGTTGGTGACCTGCGAGATGTGCCCCGCTAGGTTGGTGTGGCGCTAAGAGGGGGATGGGGGGGATGTGGGGGAAGATGGGAGATGGGAAGGGGGAGACAGGGAAAGGGAGGGAAAGGTTTAGAAGATGTAAGAAGAAATGATAGGACCAGGTCAGCAGAGCAAAAGGTGAAGCCTGATAAAGTGTAAAACTTTGCACACATACTGGAAGGTAGTCTGGACAAAACCTGCCACACAATGTTGCCAAAAAAAAAAAAAAAAAAAAAAAAAAAAATGTAGAACAGCAAGGGTTATAAAGAAAAGATGAATCATCTCACCGTAAGCTCTGGCAGAACGTTGAGCTTCTTGACAAAGTCCTTCAGCTCTGATACCGTCTGCGAGCAACAGATGCCACAGGTACAGCAGGCACAGCACGTGCATGCAACACGTGGTGAGACACAAGTACGAAACGAGGGAAAGAGCACAACGTTTCTTGACAAAGTCCTTGAGCTCTGATACCGTCTGCAAGCAACAGATGCCACAGGTGCAACATGTGGTGAGACATAGTAGGGAACGAGGAACAGAGGAGAACCGTGTTTCTTGATGAAATCCTTCGTCTCAGAAAAAGAGGAGAACACTGTCTGACTGCAACAGGTGCAACAGGTGTAGCAGATCAATCCTCACCTGCTCTCCACCACCAGCAGCAGCAGCAGCAGCAGAGGCAGCTCCCTGGCCACCCGGCGCAGCGGAGCGCAGTGGCGATGCGTCTCTTTGCGGCCGTTGCCTGAGGTTGGCATACTCTGACTTCATCTCCACTGCCTTGGCTCGCAGCAGCTGAGGAGGAGTGGGAGGTGGAAAGGGGAGCAGAGAGCGCAGAGGGACGTTAAGAGGTTGTACTTTGGGGTTCATGCGCCTCTCTGCGGCCTCTGCCTGAGGTTGGCATACTCTGATTTCATCTCCACTGCTTCGGCTCGCAGCAGCTGAAGAGAGACAAGTAAGAGGAAGCAGGGGGGGAAACGAGTGCTAAGGTTGTACTTTGGGGTTCAGGTGCCTCTTTATGGCCTCTGCCTCGGGTTGGCATACCCTGACTTCATCTCCACTGCCTTGCCTCGCAGCAGCTGAGGAGGGGAGCAGAGAGAGCAGAGGGGACAGAGGGGACAGAGGGTCAAAGAGAGCAGAGACAGCGATGGAGCAAAGGGAGAAGAGGGGACAGAGACACGTGAATGACTTTGAGACGTCTCAAAAGAAGAGGGGACAGAGACACGTGAAGAAGTAGTTGTACTCTCCCCATTGCTTTGACTCCGCGTTGTGTGTTCAAGGCACCATGCGATGCGAATCTATGCAATTTTGATGTTTTATGATGCGATGCGATGCGATGCAATGCAATGCGATGCGATGCGTTGCAATGCGATGGGATGGGATGCGATGAGAGGATGGGATGGGATGCGGTGTGTGTGATGTGATGTGATGTGATGTGATGTGATGTGATGTGATGTGATGTGATGTGATGTGATGTGATGTGATGTGATGTGATGTGATGTGATGTGATGTGATGTGATGTGATGTGATGTGATGTGGTGTGGTGTGATGCTATGCGATGTGATACAATACAATGCAAAGCACCTCACCTCCGCTGCTGATCCAAAGTTGCGGCCTCTAAGGTCCTGAAACAGCTTGTCACTGCAAAGATATAGGTAAGGTGAGGACGGCGGGGAGGGACGGCAAGATGAAGCATGAGACGTCTCAAAAGCTCTAAGCTTCTGAAACAGCTTCTCAATGCATAGATACAGGTGAGTGGAGGAAGGCGAGCAGGGTGAGGAAGGCGAGGAAGGCGAGGAGGGCAAGGCAGCGCATGAAGGGCTTCACCACTTGCTGAGATCATTTCAAGCTGCCTTGCAGAAGGTGCACGGAAGGGGCTGCACACAAAGCCAAGGCATGAGAGGGCTTTCATTTGAGAACTCTTGGAATCCGACCATGTTCTTTAGAGTCGGAACTTGGATTGGAAGGCACTCTGATCTTCCTGGCGTTGGATGTCACCCCCATGACTGCCGGACAGTTCTCTCGTGTAAAGAGACCAACAGGGCACAGCACACTTGTCTACTCTAAACCAAGCACTACGAATCTTGGTCCCCACGCCCCTCTCTTACTTGGAGTTGCGACGCACTCTGATCTTCCTGGCGTTGGTTCTATACAAGCCACACCCTCTCTCATAATAGGGTCTTCCGAGCATAATTTTTATGAGATTTCTTAATAACCAACCACGCCCCTCACTCACTTGGAGTTGAGAGGCACTTTGATCTTCCTGGCATTGGATGTCACCCCCATGACTGCAGGATCCACCTCCACTGCCCCGTTTGCTACGTGCAGTAGCTGGGTGAGGGAGAGGTGGAGGAAGAGAGAGGAGAGATAAATGGACGGGACAGAGAGAGTGAGAGGGTGATCGCAAAAGAGACGCGTTAGGGAGGTGATTCCCTTTTTCCCCATGACTGCAAGATTCACCTTCGCCCCGTCCGTAACGTGCAGGTGCTGGGTGGAAAGATAGGGACAGGGAAGTACAAAACTATTGGGCAGAGAAAATATTTGCATGCAGAAGAGGCGCAAAGAGGTATCTCCTTCCGATGACTATATGATCCACCTCCACTGCGGCTCAGATGATCATTCTGGTGACCAGCCTCGGGAAATGCAAAGCCAAGCCGAGCGAGTGTGGCTTCTATGGGTATGAAGAGAGAGCACGCACAAATTTGTCTAGCCATGACTAGGGATGATGCGGTTGCGCGGAAACTACAGCCTCCCTGAATGGATGTGGGACGCAGTCACATTTAGTACTGCTATGGACTTGATGAAAGAATCAATGAAGATGATGGGCACAGTGGGAGTGGTTGAAGTGGTCGATCATGAACTCGCAAGACTAAAGATTACGTAGACAGGCCATAGATTTGTCAAATTTGCGTCACTTGCATGGAATATACAGTTGATCAGTCAAGGTCGATAGGTCTATGTACATCTTCAACCGACTCTGATGATCAGCTGTATATTCCATGCAATGATGCGAGTTAGACGAATCTATGGTCTATGAAATCTCTAGTCTTGTCAACTGAAATGCTTGTCATTCGTGATCGACCAGTTCACCAACACCAACGTGCCCATCAAACTCATTTGTTATTTCATCGAAGTCCATGCCCAAGCACTGAATGTGACTGCGTCCCACATCCATTCATGGGGGCTGTAGTTCCGTGTAACTGCATCATCCGTACTCATGGCTGGACAAATTTGCGCATGCTCCCTCTTCATACCCATAGAGAGCCACACTCGCTTCGCTTGGCTTTGCGTTTCCCGAAGCGTTCACTGGAATGATCATCTGAACCCCAACCGCATGGAAAGGTAGAGAGAGGGAAGAACAAAGAGATGATTGAAGGTAGAGAGCAAGACTGCAGAGGAAGATTCTGACCTCCTCATCTATCAAGAAATGCTGACTCCTATCAAGGCATGCTGACATCACCTATCAAACATGCTGACATCAGATTTCTACGGATGCTGACCATCATCAAGCAGCCATTCGTATGTGAGCTGCGTGCATGCTGGCGTCACCATGTCCACCTGTCTGTCTATCTTTGATGCGCCTCAAGTGCTGATGTCATCTATGAAGGCATGCTGACATCACTTATCAAACATGCTGACATCATCTTTGTAGGGATGCTGACCTCATCAAGCAGCCCTTCGTATGTGAGCTGAGTGCATGCTGGCGTCACCATGTCCACCTGTCTGTCTATCAGCACCATCATGTCCACGCTTGGATGCTCCACCTGCCACCACCACTCCACACCACACCGCACCACAACACAACAAACCGCTCCACCCCACACCACACCGCGCCACCCCACACCGCAGCGCCCCACATCACACCACTCCACCACGCCACAAGACATTCCACACTCCAGTAAAGATTTCAGCTCACTGGGCTGAAGCAAACGAGAAACAAACTCGAGGCAACTCAAGAGCCAGGTCACATAAGTCCAGAAACTAGAGCGACAAGTGAGTAGACTGTCTAGCTTACGATGCCTTTTGAGTCAGCTTAAAACTAACAACTCCTACCGGCGCCACGTGTGACTTCTGCTCCTTCATGAGTTGACCCATGGCCTGTTTCCTCAAGACATGTCAGAAATCAGCAAGCCTACCGGCAGCAGCAGAGGAGGCCTACCGGCAGCAGCATCACAGCAGGCCTACCGGCGCCACGTGCGACTTCTGTTCCTTCATGAGTTGACTCATGGCCTGTGCCACTCGCTGCGCTGCACTCCCTTGCCCTTCAGCACTGAGGCACTCCAAACACGGACTGCAGTGCGTGGGAGGACAGGGCGAGGAGAATGACTTGGAATCAAGAGAATGAGAGGCAGTGAAGAATCAAAAGAAGCACGGGAATCAAACGGGAGGCATCGGGATGGTAAAACATCATTTGCATCCCTTTTGATAGTTCTCAAAGTAACAGCCATGAGTATTAGGAGTTCGTAACCACAGCCGCAATGAGCTGGCACTCGCGTGGATTATCACCATCAATGGCTGAGATTACCACTGGATTATCACCATCAATGGCTGAGATTACCACTGGATTATCACCATCAATGGCTGAGATTACCACCTTCAACTACTAAAAATCGTCACCTGGAAATTACCTGGAAATTACCAGCACTCGCGCCACTTTGCAAAGTGGAGGTGGGGTCCTGAGTCCACGTGTACATCCTGGATTGGATAGGTCAGACGGGAGGGAGGGGGGTGGGAGGGGAGAGAGATAGAAAGGTGAGAGCAGGGTCAAGGAGAGGCGGGGTCTGAGTCCACGTGTATGCCCTGGATTGGATTAGTGCAGTTCAGAACAAGAAGGGGCAGGGGGGGCGGGGAAGGGTGTGGGGAAGAGGGGTGGGGAAGAGAATGAAAAGGTAAGGGAAAACTAAAAAGGGTAGGGTGGGAGAGATGAAAAGGTGCGGGAAAGGGTAACGCAGTGGTGTGGCTTGAGTGCATGTCCACGTCCTGAATTGGATTGGATTGGTGCAGTTCGAATCACCTCACCTTATAGAGGGTACAAGATTCACCTTATAGAGGGTATGGAGGTCGAGTGCGAGGAGGTCATGGTCCAACGGGATCATCTCGAGGGGATACTCTCCCACTGCCATCTTGCTCCAGAATTGGGCTTATGAAGGGGACAACAATCAATATATCAAGGGTAAGAAGGTCACCTTATAGAGGGTATGGAGGTCCAGTGCGAGGAGGTCATGGTCCACGGGGATCATCTCGAGGGGATACTCGCCCACTGCCACCCGCGGGTCGCCCACCAGTCCCTCCTGCTCCAGAAACCTGCAGTGGATGTGTGGTGTGGGGGGCAACAGTAGACGCAGGTCACAACAAGATGACTTTTGAGTCGACTCAAGGGTCGTCCAATCCTGCTCCAGAATCTGCAGATGTGAGGAACGGGGAAATCAGTATACGTAGTGGATTCAAAAGTCGACTCAAGTAGATGTAGGTGGCATGCAGCAATGCTAGCTTTGCACCAGTCCTAAGTTGAAAAAAACGCAAGTTTGACGGTTGCGTATTGAGTTTATACGCATCTAAAATTCGTACGCTGCGTATTTTTCTAAAATTCGCCAAATTTCTCTCGGGCTGACCGGGAAAAAAAATCAGTTGTGTTCGCGAGTATCGGAATTCAGATTTGAGGATCGCGAATTGCAAATGCAACCTCAGATCTGAATTTCGAAACCGTTTGGTGAATCGTCCCCTCCTATCAACCGCTCAACACCCATTCCAACCACATCGATTACCAATGCCTTCCAATTTTGTTGCCAACTTCAACCAGACCTCATCCTCCCCGCTCAATGTCAGGTCGTTTTTTTCCCTTTGATCCCCTTCTAATTTCACTTGCGACGATAACCTACTACAGCAGCTCCCGTTCCCGTCTCTTGACCTAGCATCTTAACCTGCCCGGGAGAAGAATTTAGCTGCCCGGGCAAAGCGTTTTTCTGTGCGTACCAGACCCCCTCCGGCCAGCGTACTGCGTATAAACTCTAGCGTTTATACGGAAAGCGTACTAAACGCGAAACGTGTTTTTTTCCAACATAGCACCAGTCGACTCACGGGTCATCAAGGGTCATCCACAAGCCCCTGATGCTCCAGAATCTGCAGAGGATGTGTGTGTGGGGCGCAAGCGCACCGCGCGCGGACATGCCACATTTGAACATGCATGCACGCATGCAGGCACACATGCTCTCTCTCTCTCTCTCTCAAATGGTCCTTTGTATTGATTCAGCAGGGGGGTACAGACATGCAATTTGACTCGTGGTTCCCTTATACCTTCCGACCCATCAACCCATCCCTTTGACCCTTCCCCCCCTTAGTGCCCCTCTAACCCTCCAGCGTGTGGAGGATGTCCCCTAGGTGCAGTGGCCATGGGTCCCGCTGCCATCTGGGGGTGCGCTGCCTCTATCCCAGCCCTGGCCTTGGTGGTGTAGGGCATTCGCCTGGGAGCGCTGGAGGGCCACTGACCATCGCTGGCTGAAGTGGCAGGCCATCTTCTTGGCCGATTTCGACAGGGGGTTGGCCCTGAACCGGTTCCTAGCTGCTGCTGTAGCCAGCAGCTTCAGGAACGCCGTCGTGGGGGGAGCGTTTGCCCCATAGGTCTCGACGGCCAGGGCGCAGAACACCACGTGTTCTGTGTGCCGGTAGTAATCTCTTTCCTTCCGCTTCTGAGCCTCCCTTGCAGCCCAGCCTGGGGGTTTGCGGGCTGTGGGGTCCCGGTTCTGGAGCACAGGGTCGGTGATAGTCGTGTCTGTGATCCAAGTCTCTCCACTGTCTGGGTCACGCACCATCACATCGGCCTTCTTCGGGTCATCTGGTGGTGAGTACATTGCATTCTCCAGGTATACCACCAGCTGCGCCTCCCTCGCCATTTTTGCCACGGCAAAGGCCAGCTGATTGTGTGTGCGCGTTCTGTCAGGGCCTGTGCTGCAGCGGAGTAGGTGGTTGGGTAGGCTGCAGTCGGCCACGAGCTCTCCACACTCGCACACAGTAGGTACGTTCTGTCGGATGCCCATAGCGGAAGGCCAGGGCTGTTCGGAACTGCCCTGGTGAGAAGCAGAGGTCTGGGGTCAAGGGTAGGGCCTCTGCAGCCATGCTCCCCGCTCCCTCGCCTCTCAGGCTGACGAGGCGGAGCGTGTGGCCCGTCTCGGGGGCTGACCTGATCGAGCGTGAGTCCTCTGTCAGGGAAGTCGGCTTTTGCCGCATGCACTTCCAGAGAGAGGGCCCGCTGCAGCTGGTCTTGGGACGGGTTTCTTGCTCCTCGCGGAGGTATTGCAGCGCCAGCGGCGGCAGTCGTCCCTCCATGTCTTGGATGGTGACCGAGTGTGCCGCAGACGGCTGCAGGGAGGTAGCTATTGTCAGTATGGTGCGAAAGGCCTTACGACTCCCTTAACATACAACCCCCCCCCCCCCCCCCCCCCCCCCCCCCCCCCCTTTCTAAGCTAGGTCCAGTACAGGATCAAGGACCGTGAGGCAATCCCCTAGGGACGGAGCCTCCCCCACTGCCTCGAGCAGTGGGTTTTCCACTGCAGCCGCTATGCTGCATTTTTCCAAATAACCGATAGACTGCCCCCTTTGAAGAGCCACCGACCACCGCTGCCGGAAAGTGGTGTAAGAGCTTGGCAGCTTGGTAGGAGGTTGGCTCAGCGTTAAAGAACCGCCTTGCAGCTGTCTCTGCGAGCAGCTTCAGGAAATCCACTGTCTCGGGGCATGGGCACCCATAAGTTTCGACCGCGAGCGGGAAAAACTTCACCCACTCGGGGCGGTCCCTGTAGAGGCCGTGCTTTTTATCTGCTGCTTCCCGAGCCGCCCACCCCCGCCCCTTAGTTGCATTCTCGTCACGGGTGGTGATGGGGTCCGTCACCGTCACATCACAGATGTAGACGGCTCCTGTTGAGCGGCAGCGGAGGGCAAGGTCCGCCTTCTTCTCCTCCACTGGGCTGAAGGCGGCCGTTTCAATGTGCACCATGAAGCCCGCGTCGCGCGCCATTCGCGCACACTCATCTCTGAGTTCGTTGTGGGTGTTTGTGCGCCCCCCCCCCTGTCCCGCACCGTAACAGGTGGTTTGGGAGACGCTTGTCAGGGATTTCTACTTGCTTCGAGCAATTGCAGACCCCGGGGGCCGCAAAGGGGAGCCCCAGCCGAAACTGGACTGCGTTGGCGTAGTGCGGAGCCTCGAGGTGTAGCGTGCGGTGCAGCGGCACCGCGTTCAACCAATCCCCCGCCCCGTACCCCGACAGGGACAACAGCCGTTGTGTGTGCCCATTGTTTGGGTTCGGGCTCATCCCCCGCACCTCCTCCACCTGAACTGCGTAGCGCTGGCCTTGGATAGCCGTGGCTAACCCGTGCTGCAGCTTTCCCGCGGTAGGGGCTGTCCTCTCCGCTTGCAGTGCTTCTTGCGCCGGCAGTGGAAGCTCCCCCTCGCATTCCGCCAACCACTCGGTCAAAGGAGATGACTGAGTATAGGGGCCGCGCATCTGCTCGCGGATGACCTCCAGAGGGCCATTGCAGTCGCCCTCGAGGGAGTCAAGGAGAAGGTGAGCCTGCGTGTAGCTGGCGAGGAAGCTGTAGCTTCCCTCCACGGACGGATCTGTCAGCCCAAGGCCACCAAGAGATACAGGGAGCAAGGCCTGCGCCCAAGTGCGCGCAGTTTCCTCGGTCCCTCGCGGGTGTATGATGCCACACGCTGTGAGCAAAGTGTCCAGCATCTGCCTCCCCCATTCGGACCACTCCTCCTTGGGCAGGGACGGGAGGGGAGTCGTGCGGGCCAAATAGGATACACGGCGCGAAACGCACCGAGACAGCAGCAGTCCCGCCAGCTGCGGCTCCATCCGCTCGATCAATCCTAGCGGCGTGCCCATTGCCTCCAAACTGGAGCGCACGAACGCGGAGGTAGCCCCTGGCGTGCCCATTGCCTCCTCTGTCTCTCTCTCTCTCTCTCTCTCTCTCTCTCTCTCTCTCTCTCTCTCTCTCTCTCTCTCTCTCTCTCTCTCTCTCTCTCTCTCTCTCTCAGTTCAGTTCAGGAACGTACCCTGGTGCAGATGGCGTCGCATCTGGGAATGAAGTGGAGTGAGTAGCTGCGAGTGACGCCCTCGTCCTCGTCTGCTCGCACCTGGTGGGACCGTGGGATACGTTGCATGGAAGATAGGGGATAGCCAGGAGACAAGGAGCGAGAAAGGGAGTCAGGACAAGGAGTGGAGTGAGTGGGTGCAAGTGACGCCCTCGTCCTCGTCTGCTCGCACCTGGTGGGACCGTGGGATACGTTGCATGGAAGATAGGGGATAGCCAGGAGACAAGGAGCGAGAAAGGGAGTCAGGACAAGGAGTGGAGTGAGTGGGTGCAAGTGACGCCCTCGTCCTCGTCTGCTCGCACTTGGTGATGAGAACTGCGAGATGGAAGGGGCAGGAGAAAGAACAGGAGAAATGGAGACAGGAAGAGCGAGTGGAGTGAGTAGGTGTGAGAAGGTGCAAGTAGGTGCAAGTAGGTGCGAGTCACACTCTCGTCCTCGTCTCCACGCACCTGGTGGGGTTGATGAAAAAGGATTCGGCAGAGATAGGACACGGAGATGGGAGAACAGGATGGAGAAAGGGGACAGGAAGAGCGAATGGAGTGAGTAGGTGCGCGTGATGCCCTCGTGCTGGTTTGGTCCCCACGCACCTGCTGGTGAGATGCAGGGGAAGGGGAAGAAGGGCTGGACGGGATAGAGAAAAAAATTTATGAGGCGCCTAAAAATTCCTGGTCTGGTCCCCAATGCCCTGCTGGTGAGGTGCATGGCAGGGGAAGGGGAAGAAAGGTTGGACGGGATGAGAAAAAAGAAGGGGGAGGGAGTATGGAGGGCCTACACGAGCAGAGTAAGTAGTAGGTGCGAGTGATGCCCTCGTCCTCGTCTGCACTGCCCGAACCTGGTGGGACCGTGGGATGCGTGGGATAGAAGAAATGGCACAGGACAGGAGACAAGGAGGGAGAGAGGGAGCACTGCCATATCTTCTCTCCCTCGCATCCTTGTGCTCGTCTGCACTGCACGTACCTGGTGAGATTGATGAGATGGGAAGGGGAGGTGGCAGGACGGGAAGATGGGAGGAAAGGGCGCAATCGTGGAAGGGGCAGGTACAGTGCGGTACCAACAGGTGCTAACATAATGCGGTAGCTTACCAAGTCGTAGCACACAGTACCTGGCGTGGAATCCAGCGAATCAGAAGTGGATTGGGGCACAGGCGATAAAGGATGGTACCAAGCGGTGTCTGTATGTACCTGGCGTGTGATCCAACTTTTGAGTCGACTCAAAAGGTGTCTGTATGTACCTGGCGTGTGATCCAACTTTTGAGTCGACTCAAAAGGTGTCTGTATGTACCTGGCGTGTGATCCAACTTTTGAGTCGACTCAAAAGGTGTCTGTATGTACCTGGCGTGTGATCCAACTTTTGAGTCGACTCAAAAGGTGTCTGTATGTACCTGGCGTGTGATCCAACTTTTGAGTCGACTCAAAAGGTGTCTGTATGTACCTGGCGTGTGATCCAACTTTTGAGTCGACTCAAAAGGTGTCTGTATGTACCTGGCGTGTGATCCAGCGAATGAGAAGCGGATTGGGGCGCAGGAGGTAGAGGACGGTGGAGCACTGTGATTGGATGGGGTCGGCGCTGATGTGGAACAGATTTTCCACTCCGTGTTCCTGTAACGAAGGGACACGCGGAGAGCGGGGATGGAGGAGAATGGGGGCTTTTGAGGCGCCTCAGAAGATGCTGATGTGGAACCGATTCTCCACTCCGTGTTCCTGTAACGAGGGAAGACGTGCAGGGGGGAGGAGGACATTTCTGAGGTGCCTAGAAAAATTATGTGGAACGGATTTTCCACTCCATGTTCCTGTAACGAGGGGAGAGAGAGAACAGGGATGGAGGTGAGTGTCAGAACTTGAGCTTAGAATCCTTACATTAGTAATGAGCTCAAGGCTTTTAAGTACATCGGAAATGGGCAAGGTAAGGATGGGGAGAGAATTGGGGACAATCCTAGGAGATTGGGGGTAATCCCAAGGCAATCTCCAATTGGTGGGTTGGAGATTGCTTGGAGATCACATTTGGGTTTGGTTGGGATGTGGGTGTACACCCAACCAAACACGAAGTGCACACTACACTAGGATAAAACAGTGCAAGTACAAAATGTGAGATTAAGGGCTAACACTAGCAGTGAGTGGGGGGGGAGGGGATGATTTGGGGGAATGGAGTAGGGGATCAGTGGGGAAACGACATGGCAGAGCGGAGTGGGGGAAATGGAGTGGGGAAAGTTGAGAGGCGAAGCTCCTATGACTGAGCCACCTTGAGGAGAGAGATGGGAGCGATGAAGGCGAGCGGGCCGCTGATAGACGCATCCAGCACTAGAGCCTTGCCGCCCGGCACCTGGTGGAATGGGATGCGGTGGGAATGGATGGGAGCCGATGGCGGGATGGTGGGATGATGTGACGATGGGAGGGTGCGATGGTGGGAGGGTGGGAGGGTGGGATGGATGTTGGACTGCTTGAGTAAAAGGAGCACTGAAAAACTGGAGGGACGGTGCTGGGACTGGTAGGTTGGAAAGGCTACTAATAAACGACGGGAAGGTGCTGGAACTGGTAGGGGTGATGAACAGCAAGCAACGAGTCAGACTAGTCAACGCAGGTCAACTCACAGAGTCAAGGGCGTCAACAAGGCGTTGACTGGCGTGTGCTCTGCTCGTAAGAGGCACACATGTGGGAGGGTGGGGGAGGGAGGTTGGGGAGGGCGCAGAGGGGAGTGGGGAGCACGCGAAAGGGAATAGGGTGGTCACACAGAAGCATAGCGGGAGGAGTATGGGAGGGGTAGGGGGAAGGGGATGGGAGGGGCAGAGAGGGAAGGGGATGGGAGGGGCAGAGAGGGAAGGGGATGGGAGGGGCAGAGAGGGAAGGGGATGGGAGGGGCAGAGAGGGAAGGGGATGGGAGGGGTGCAGAGGGGAGTTGGCAATGGCATGGAAGGGCGTGTGGGGGGGGGGAAACTGGAGGAAAGGGCAAAGACAGACAGGCGGCAATAACTGAGGGCGGATAATATTTTGTTGGAGGAGGCACCTGAGGAGGGGGCGGACAGTACCTTAACTGAGGCAGCTGTAAGCGCAGTTCTATCTGAGGTGGAGGCAGTGTCAAGCAGCTCCTCAGGGAGGCAGTACCTGAGGGAGGCCATACTTGAGGGAGGCCATACCTGAGGGAGGCATTTCCTGAGGGAGGCATTAGTACCTGAGCGAGGCGTTACCTGAGGGAGGCCATACCTGAGGGAGGCTAAAGAAGCATTACCTGAGGGAGGCTAAAGAAGCATTACCTGAGGGAGGCGAGATCTATGAGGGAGTTATCGAGCGGAACCATCTGCGCCATGGCTCCTCCCCCCCTTCTCTCCCTGGTCGCCTTTCAAGGGGGTCTAGAAGAATTCCCCTCCTCCACCTTCCTGCTTCCTAGCTATTCGAAGCCTTCTGCTTGTCGCACCCAAGCCGGAATTCCTATTCAGATGCTGCGTTCTGCAATTCTCACAAGCTCTCTCCCTCTCTCCGTTGTGCAGTTCTGAACAACCCCCCGCCAGTCCGCCACCGACGGTGACGATTCGCCGCTACCACACGCGCCGCCGCTATGCAGCCGACGAAGGCGACGATTATCGTGGCGATGCGACGGGTATTCGCGAAAGGCGGCGGCGACGAATTCGAACTCGTCGGGACTCGGAAAGCTACGCTGGCTATCTGTTTCTATTGGGAAGCGGAGAAATGGGTTGTAGTGCATCAGAGGCTTTTTTATAATTACAGCGATGGTGTACGTGTACAACACATAAGCAGTCGTAACTGTGCAGAAGAGACATGAGCGAGTTCTGTCTCAGAGACAGCTTCTATGGCTGTTCTATGCAGAACAGCCATGGGTGGGTTGCCCCAACCCGAAGAGCCGCTAAGGCACGTGCCCACCATGATGCGGTAATATACGGTACTTTACTTTCCAAGAGCAATACAGTATGGTTCAGAACGTTAAGAGCTCGGAATTGTAGCGAACGCCTGGTCTCGAGGGAAGCCGATTTAGGAACGGGAATCCACGAACTCGCGGTAACCCTTTTGATACACAGAAGGCGGGGTCACATTTAAATATACCTGGTTCGTTTACTACGGTCAAGTACGTCAAAACGCGATAGCAAATGGTTCGTATTGGTGAAAACTCAGAACTGTCTCGACCCGTTTCTAACGCATTAAACCGCACTAAATGAACCAGGTACGTTCACTAAATAATATTGTGAATCCCCTTCGGATCGTCCGACTTCGTGTCAAGAACGAAATGTACCAGAAACGCAGAATGCGTTCTGCTCGCACCCTGCTCACCCAGCAACTATCATCTGCCCCGTTGCGCGTTCACTGCCAGAGCAGAACCTAATAGCCTATCATCTGCCGCGTTGCGTGCTCACAGCCAGAGCAAATCCTAGTAGCCTTTGATCTGCCGCTTTGCGCATTCACAATCAATATATTTTAGAAACGATAGCTATAGCAAGTAGCCTATCTGTCGCTTGCGCGTGCAGAGTCAAGATAATCTAGACTTATGGCATTGGCGAGCCAGCACTTGCGCGTAGTAACCAATCAGCAGCCGTTTTGCGCGTCCACAAATCTCGTAATCATCAAAGCTCTTATGGGCGCTGCGCAAACGGCGTTGGCGAGCGGGAATCAACGCGTCGTCGTTTTGCGCGTTTCTCAATTCAAACCACTTTGATTGGGTCATGACGGATTCAAATCTTGGCGCCAGCGGCGAGTCCTGACTTCCAGTCATGACCCAACCAGCATGGGGGCTTCACGACTAGCTGACTGATGATCCTACGAAGTATATATGACTGAGGGAGTGAGCCCTTGTAGTGTGCGAGGGTAATTTGCCTTTTCAATAGCCTCCCTGACTCCAATCGATTGATTCACACATCCTAGCTTGGTATCTCTGAACAATAACGACCAATCATGGGTCATCGCATCGCCAGCCACGTGAATCTCGCTGTGCGTGCCGTCGCAGCAGCAGTCGCCGTCGTCGTCGTTGCTCTCCTCTCCTCGATTCCGCCCGCGGCTGCGGCAGATCCGCTTGTTGGCGGCGTGTCCGGCGTGAAAGACGCGGCGACGAATAAGGATGTGGAGGCTAAGGATGACGCGCACAACAAGAAAGATGTAGGTACCTAGAGAAGGCTCAGTGCCGTTCAGTGTTTTGAAGTGCCTGATAAAATAACGTGTGTTTGAGATGTCTCAGAACCAGAGGTATCAATATTCTTTGTATTAAGTGTTTGGCCAGATTTGCCAAAGAAAGAGGTATCGAGTTTGAGTCTGTCTTTACTCCAGTATCGATTCTAAAGCCCCCAGAACCACTCTCGTTGGAGGTACCTCATAGATTCCTTTCATCCCCTCCTCGACCCACTCTGCCACATTCCGAGGCGAGGGGTCCTCTAGGTCAGTAGCGGGCCCTCACGTTCCTCTCGCTCAAATCTCGCCCTGTAACAATATGCCACCATGCCTAGTTCTTAATTTCCCTGAATTACCAAAACGTAAGCTTCAGGTACTTAACTCCTCTCCCCTCCCCCCCACCCCCCTCTCTCCCCACCCCAACCCACCCCACTTCACCCCACCAGAACGCGAACCTCAAGTTCGTCTCAGTCATCAGCGCGTCGCATCAGATGGTCGCCAGCATCAAGTGGTTCATCACAAGCCCCCGCTCCCTTCCTTTCCCACTCCACTCCACCCCACTCTAAACCCCACCCCTCTCCTCCCCACCCCACCAGAACGGGAACCTCAAGTTCGTCTCAGTCACCAGCGCGTCGCACCAGGTGGTCGCTGGCATCAAGTAGACCATCACCCTACATGCCGCCGACCCTGTCCCCGCCCCCACAGGAATAGCGCCCACTTTGCGGCGCCGCCACCGCCGCTCCCCCGCCTCCCCCGCCGCACCCGTGAACACCTACGTGGCAAAAGTCTGGATAAACCCGACACCGGCGGTGCAGGAGCCTGTAGCACAGCCTGTGGGCGATGGGCAGTCATCGTCGGGTGTGGCGCAGCCGGCGATGGCGGAACCTCGTGTGCTGCTCTCCTTTGTCAAGCAGCAGTGACGGGCTTGACTGGGCTTTGAGCCGCCTCAACAAGCGGCGAGCTCTTGCGAGCTGCTCTTGCATGGCATGGAGACAGGGCGGTCTTGAAGCAAGGCGAGGGTTGCACAATGGGCATTTCAGATGTGAATGCTTCATGGATTCTAGGAGGTGCAAATTTACGGACCACGTTGTTGATTGGGTTCAGTTTAGATTCAAGTGAGTAGTTCATTTGCTGCTTATGGAAGAGGTGAGTGCTGGGAAGAAGTGGGTATACTGGGGTGGGGAAGGTATCTGAGATACTTCTCCATTGTGTGGGCTGTTTTGCTTTAGATGTTTTCCTGGGTAGCAGTGTGATGTGCCTCCTCTTAAAGCCCGTAGCTAAAATAGTGACCCCCCCCTTCTAGTTGGACCCAACTTGATTACTCAAGTCTTTTTGTATTGTTTTGAAAAGTTGGAAATGCTGTGTGCTTTTTTATTCAGCCTTCATACGAGTTTCGTAGTGGGCCTCGAACGAAAGTTCTTCCTCAATTCTGATTGGCAGCCAGAATCCCTCACATGTACGTGTGCGAATTTGGCGCAAAGTTGAGCGACGTGCACTCCTGCACTCACTAGAGCCGATACTTCACCAAGGTCACATTTATCAACATTTCACTCTACTCCCAAGCGGACACACATGTACGTGATGAGAGCCAAATACACACGCTAGTGCCTATACTTAACCAAATTCGCATCTAGCAATGTGCGGCCTTGGACTTGGGGCCTGTGAGAGGTGCAATAACGGGGAATGGAGGAATAAAAAAAAAGCGGGGGGAAATGATGATGGGCAAGGTGATGCGAATGAAGAGAAAGAGGGTGATGGGGATAGAGGAACCGGAACTGGAGACGGGGTGGCAGGGGAGAGAGGAAGGGTGACGGAGGGCATTGGAGAACACCAGGAAGACGGGAAGGTACGGGAGAAGGTGAGGGCGACGGAAGGGGATGGGAGAAAGTGAGGCGACGGGAAGGGGATGAGAGCTGACGATCACGAAGGGAAGGGAAGCCTCGTCTTCCATGAGAGAGATCGTGAGGGAATGGGAAGTGAGATCGTGAGGGCGATGAGAAGGGAGGGGGGACTTGCATTGTGAGGGAATGGTAAGTGAGATCGTGAGGGCGATGAGGACAGATGGGAGATGGCGAAATAGACGGGAGGGCGACGGGATGTGAGAGCCGATCGCGAAGACGATCGGAACGGAGGGCGACGCGAAATGGGAGGGCGACGGGAGAGGCGATGACATCAGATCGCGGAGGCGATCAGAACGGAGGTCGACGGGAACGGAGGGCGACTGGAAATGGGGGATCGATACGAGTTCGCGAGAGAGATAACGAGCGCGACGTGGAGAGGGGGGGAGATAGCGAGTGCGACGAGAAAAGGGGGGGAGATAGCGAGCGCGACGGGGAGAGGGGGGGGAGATAGCGAGCGCGACGAGAAAAGGGGAGGAGATAGCGAGCGCGATGGGAGGGGAGACCTTGAGCGCGGAGGCGATGCGAAGACAGGTGCACGTGAGCGTGATTGCGAGGGGAGGGGGGAACGTGAGCGCGATGCTGATGGGAGGGGAGGACGTGAGCGAAAGGAGATGAAGTAGGCGACGGGATGGGAGGGGAAATTACAAGGGCGACGGGAGGGAGAGCGCGAAGGCGACGAGAAAAGTGATGGCAGGGGGGGGACAAAGGGCGCTGAGGAGGGTGTTTCAGAGAAAGAGCGTAGGCGACGAGGTGTGTAATGGGCGGAGAGAGAAGAAAGGCGACGAAGGGGGGGGGGAGGGGGAAGGGATATCGCGAGGGCGACGGGAAGGAAAATGCAACGTGAGGGAAGGGAGATAGTGAGGGCGACGGGAAGGAAAGGGGGGACATTGAAGGCGAGGGGAGGAAGGGATAACGCAAGGGCGACGGGAAGGAAGAGGGGGCATTGAAGGCGAGGGGCGGGAGAACGGGAGGGCGACGGGATCGGAGGGAAATCGCGAGGGCGAGGGGACAAGAGGGGTGAACGGGATAATAACGGGACGGGAGGGGAGACCGTGAGAACGACGGGAGGGCCGTCACGAGTGTGTTTGCGAGGGCGACGGAAAGGCGTCGGGACGGACTAGAGAGAGACGACGGCGGACCCAATTAGCAATGGCGAGTGCGACGAGCAGCGAGGGGAGATAAACGAGGGAAAACTGGCACTGCGCTGCCAGGCGACGTATTACTACGTTTCACAATCTTGCTAAGTCGACAATCGACGCACTCGTCGGTAATTACGCGGCTATGGCACAAACGCCTGCGCTTTCAGCTATACTACTTACTATGCTATGCGAAAACTAGTGATGAAGGGAGTGACGGAAATCTAGTTATGCACCCCCCACCGCTTGAAAATGAAGTTGGGCCTGCGATGGGAAACCATTGCTTGGGGTTTGTCGTGCGGATGCGGCACGCAAAGATGCGACGGCTGAAATGAGAAACAAAGTTCTTTTTGGCGGGAACCATCACGTTCCATTGTGGCGAGAGCCAATAACATAAGTTCACTCTGCCCATAGAAATTGTTTGAAACAGTGTTTTTGAGACTGGTTTCATTCCTTATTCAAGTTGGGACGGGGGTCACGATTTTAGCTGCGGGCCTCAAGTACCTGTACTGGGGTTGCGAGTTTTAGAAAATGTGCATTTTGTACTGCCAATGTATACCAGTGTACCATGTAATTTCAAAACTCAATTGTAACAAGCAGAAGGGGAAGTTGATGCCCGGTTTTCCCCGGTGAAGGTACACTAGGGTTTCTGCGCCCTAGAGAAGAGAGACAGGTGAAGCGCGGAACTGGTTTGTTGGATCTTGGACCCGACTGGCGGTGAAAGTACAGTACGGTACAGTACAGATGTTCTGGCTTAGAGGCTCTTCCTAAAAGAGTCCCATTTCCTCAACGAGTAGATTTTTCACATAAGTCCTAGGCGTATCCCCTCCTCTACAGTCCCCTTTTTGGCGGGAAATCTTGCATCTTGACTGAATCATTGCACGAATCAGTTCCGCAGCCAATCAGAGGACGCAAATCGAACCTGTCAGAACATTTAGAGAAAATAAAACGAAAGGAAGTTTTGATTCACTATTTACTTTTTGCAGTTGTGTTTGTCTGTTTATCTTGACCGCTCGTGTCGAAATCCTGTTGCGCGGTTCCCCGCGAGCTCGACGATGCCATCTCATTAATCTCGCTTACATTGTAAAACAAAAAATGTTGTCTTTCATTTCGGCCTTAAAAATAATTTATTTTGTATTTTTCTGCCTGTTTGTCCTGCGACACTGATCAACGCGGCGAACCGTGCGACGAGAAGTTGAAGACAGCGTAGTCCGAATGTACGTATGTGACAGGCTTATGGCCTCTCGCAGAGATTTTCTTATGCCTCTCGCTTCTCCTCGGCATCTTTACACCCAACACCTCTCGGGTCTCGAACCCTTCAACGCGTTCATCCTCCTTAAGCACTTGCCCCTTTGCAGTTGCATTTGCCTTTGATCCTTTCACCATGATGTCCCCTTTCACAACTTCAACTCCCACACACTTCGCATTTACTGCTTCATCTTCAACCACGATCGCTGCTGCAAAAGTGTTGACATCGTCTCCATCTCCACCGTTTACTGCTGCTGTCTCCATGATCACTATCTCCTCTTCCTGCTTCACTGCTGCCTCCACACTCGCAGCCATCGAGTCCTCACTCTCATCATCCTCAGTAGACTCAGGATCCTCATAGATCTCATCCTTATCGTTCATCGCGACCAAGTTCATCTCATAGAAATCGTCACTGAAATAACCATCCGCATACTTCTCCCACTCAGGACCAAACACTGTAACCTCGCCTCTGTCATAAAATATCTTGCACCCCAAGTCATCAAGCTGTGACTGACTGACCAGGTTTCACCTTTAAATCCTCAACCAGCAGCACATTCTCCAGTCTCATCTCTCCATACGGACTCTGCAGCACCACGTCACCCTCTCCTGTCACTGGTAACTTCCCACTGTTACCTTGTAGTATATAATCCTCACTCGACTCCCTCATATTCTCCATCCAATCTGACCTGAATGTCATGTGACGCGTGGATCCGCTGTCCGTGAACCACGCCCTCTTCTCACGTCCATCTTTCTGAGCCTCCTTCGGTAAATGCACCACGTTCGCGAGATGCGCTCCTCCCAAAATCACATCCTCCTTTTCCGCTTCCACTACATTCGCCTTTGTCGCCACATTCCTCTGCTGCGACGGACCCTTGTAGCTCATGCTATTCGGGTTGGAGTAGCACTCTGCGGCACGATGCCCGTAGCGCCCGCAATAATCACACTTGCCGCCAAAACCTCGTTTCTGCTGCCACTCCGCTCCTGCATTTTCTCCTTTATCATTCTCCACAGCCCCTTGTAGTTTCTGCTTCGAGGATTTTCGTAGCAGTTTATCGCTTTATGCCCCCTCTTTCCACACTGGTAGCATGCTCCAAACGCCTTCATGGCATTCACCATACCCGGCCTCTCCTCGTCGAATTCTGTAACTGCTGCTGCTGCTTTCTTCTTCCTCATCTCCTTCACCGTCTCAAGCGACTGCAGAATCTCCTGCAGCTTCATCAAACTCTCCGACAGTTGGTACGTAAACATACCGATGTCGGATTCCCACTCCTTAGGAAGGCCTTGGATGATATAGTCAATCATCTCGTGCTCCATCTCCGCGGCTCCCATCACCCGCAAATCGTCGTTGTAGCTTTTCGCCCTATTGATGTAGGTGATGATTTTCTCGCCTTTCTCCATGCTCAGCGTCAGCAGTTGCTTCCTGATCGCCTTCTTGCTGACATCGTTCGTACCCATGTATGTGGACTCTAGGTACTCCCACGCTCGCTGTGCAGGGTTCAGCTCCCCTGCAAACTAGTCCAAATCCACCGCGATTCCATCGGCAACTGAATGACAAAGCTGAAAGAAAGCTTGCTTACTTTGCTTTTTAAACGCCGCTATTTTCTCCTTCGTATCCGTCGTGGAAGGCGCAACTCCCTCCATCGTCTCCTCGTCGGGACGGTAGTACGGCAAGAGGTCCACCTCCTCTGCCCTTCGAATGAACTTCTTTCGCCACACGTTGTAGTTGGTTCCATTGAAGCGCTAAGATTTACTGAGCCCGATCGTCGGTTTCGCCACCAATCGGCCACTCGCAAGGGCCTCGAGAAGAGCCTTCAACTGCGGGTCTCCAAGAATCACACTGGAACCCGGACTCGCCTCGTCTCCCATAGCGTAGGCGTGAACGACTCCTCTTCTCCACTAATTTCACTTAGCGCACCAAGTGAATTCGCGACGATCGACGAGCCCGTTCGTCAAGCTCTGATACCAGTTCTTAGGATCGTAAGCACCTTAGTCGGCAATAGTCTACTTGCTATCGCCTATCGTGTTCGCCACGTTCTCCCGAATCCAATGATATGCGCAGCTCTGCTTGAAGTTGTCAATACACACTTCAGCAATTTTCAGAATCTGATTGGTATAATTTCTAGAATGAGTACAAGCAGTTTTATAGTCAGGAAAGACAAAAAATGCGATTCGTAACTTCACTTGTTTCCCAAGTAACCGCGTGCGCCTCGTTTCACCCCGAGTCGTGTCAGAGGTCCACTGGTGATCCCCGATCGATCCTAGGGAAGGGTTACAGGCACATTTGCCTGGGGGGTTATGGGCGCACTGACCCGCTACTGAAACAAGCCCTTTTATCCCAATGGTCTAGTGGTTGGGATTCTGAGATGGTATCAGAGCGAAGGTCTCGGGTTCGAATCCCGGTGTATGCACTTCGGGCATCCCAGTGCGGGGGGGTGTCAGAGGTCCACTGGTGATCCCCGATCGATCCTAGGGAAGGGTTACAGGCACATTTGCCTGGGGGGTTATGGGCGCACTGACCCGCTACTGAAACAAGCCCTTTTATCCCAATGGTCTAGTGGTTGGGATTCTGAGAAGTCGCACACGCAACCGAACCGAATTCGGTGAACACTCCGCAAGTCCGAATCCCGAACTTTCTTGAACGCGCCTTGGTCTCGAAGAACATTTTTCCCCTCGTCAATCTCATTCTCGATGCTTCTCCTTCTTTCTCCCTCCTTCTAGCACATTTCTTCTCGATTTCTCTCCCGCTTCTCACGCCGTAGCCTCTATTCCCCACCGTAGGCCGATTTCCACCGTTTCACACACGCGCTTCCATTTTGCCGTCATTACGCCGTCGTAGATGCTTTCGCCTTAGGTTCCGTGGTTGGGCGAACCAACCCTAACACACGTCGGAGCTTCCCCCGATGTTTTCCGCGCCCAACTGCCCCAGGAAGCTGTACCCTAGGAAGCTATACCCCATAGTGTCTACCCCACTATAGCCTAGACAAGCTATATAATATAAGTTTGACACACCCCCATAGGCAAAGTGGGGGAGAACAAGAGGTCACAAGACCAATCAAGCAAAGCAAAGCAAGCTCAGGGTGGATCACAACGTCACCACACAATCCGAGCACAAGAGAAAGGCCACAAGGCCAGTTCACATGCAAGATACTATATAAAGGTAAACAAGTAAGTGCAGGTATAGAAAGATCACAGTACAAGAAAGGTCAAGAAGTGAGCAAGTGAGGCCAAGTAGGCACAAGACCTAGCATAGTACAGAAGCGCTGATGATCACCAGGCGGAAGTGCCTTGGTAAAGATATCAGCAGTGTTGGCCTCAGAGGCCACGTAAGCAAGGCGCAGCTGACCACGCTGCTGCAGCTCACGAGCAAGGAAGTAGCAGAGAGCAATGTGCTTCGTTCTGCTCCAATCTGTGCTCCCGACACAAGGCCAGCATGGCCTTGTTGTCTACGTACAAAACTGGAGGAGAACGAGGCGGCTCTCCTAGGTCAGTCAGCAAGTAGGTGAGCCAGCGTAGCTCCTGTGCAGCCATGGCCCCCGCGTAGATCTCAGCCTCACAGCTGGAGCCGAGAACAGAAGACGAAAGGGTAGACCGTCACGAAACAGAGCCGGAGCCAAGGCTGAAGGTGTAACCCTGTGACGACCGCTGCGTAGCCTGGTTGCCAGCCCAAGAAGCGTCTGCGTGACCTGTGAGGACCACTCGACGTCGCCCTCCAAGCACTAGCCCCATGCCCGACGTACTGCACAAGTAGCGCAACACCCTCTTCGCTGCAGCCATGTGCTCTGGTCGGTGTATCCCAGGAGCAACATAGGGTGCCAAGATGCTAAGAGGGTATGCAAGGTCAGGTCGTGTGCAGGTCATCAGGTACATGAAGCAGCCAACAAGCTCTGGGTACGGGCCACTCGGCTCTACGGACTCATCCGAAGGCAGAGCTGAGAGCGAGTGGCGAGTAGGCAGAGGAGTGGCCTGAGGCGAGGAGTACGTGAAGTCGAAGCGCTGAAGGACTTGCTGCACCATGTGTGACTGAGTCAGGGTAATGGTGCGCTGTGCTCTGTCCCGAGTGATCTGCAAGCCAAGGTAGCTGCGCAGTTCACCCAGGTCTGTGCACGTGTGTCTCTTCTGCAGCTCGAACTTCACGTGGGCGAGTCCAGCAGTGTCAACAGTGGCAAAGACCAAGTCGTCGACGTACACGAGGATGTAGAATGGCGGTAAGGAGGTGTCGGTGCGCAGAAACAGCGACGGGTCAGCAGTAGACGGAGCAAACCCAAGAGCCGCAAGTGTAGTCCTCAGTGTGTCGTGCCACTCACAGGGCGCCTGGCGGAGACCGTAGACTGGCCGCCGGAGGCTCCATAGGGTACCAGGAGGAAACGACCCAGTGAAGCCAGGTGGGCGGCGCAGCCAGATCTCCTCGTGCAAGCTGCCCTGCAGGAAAGCTATTCTGAAGTCAAGAGAGTGAAGCTCGTAGTTGCGCTAAGCGGCTATGTGCAGCAGCACCCGAAGAGTGGTCATCTTCGGGGTGGGAGAGGTCTGAAAGTAGTCAACTCCCTGCCGCTGACTGAAGCCTCGAGCCACGTAACGCGCCTTGAAGACAGGCGGAGAACCCGGCGGCCGCTTCACCCTGAAAATCCACATGCCACTGACGATGTTCACCCCAGGTGGGGGAGCCTCGTCGATGTAGGTGCCTGTGGACTTCCAGGAAGCCATCTTTGCGTCCATGGCTGACTGCCACTGTGAGAAGTAGGGACCCTCGATCGCCTTAGCGTACGATCGAGGAGTCGGGATGTCTGGTGCATCCGGGTCTCCCTCGGGGGCAATCAGCGTGGATACGAGATGAGGCAAAGCAGCAGCAAAACACTGGAACTCCTCCTGCCTGTCCTCAAGGACGTTCGTGCTAAGAGCACACTCACCCCCGACGGACGGAGGACAGACAGACTCAGACTCAGCAACAAGACTAGTAGCGTAGTCTAGACGACAGCGAACAGCAAAGTCGACAAGTTCAGCAACCAAGGCAGACGCAGCAGTGGACTCAAAGGAAGGGTCAGTGACAAAAGTAGCCTGGAGACGCATGACAGTAGGACTGGCAGCACGAAGAGAGTCAGACTCCGGGTCAGCAAGGACAGGAAGAGAGGACTCTGGAGGAGAAGGCAACGGGACACGTAGAGGAGTAGTGGAAGGACGCAGTGCCATCTGGTGTGTGCCTGGGACCGCAGGAGGACGCGGAGCACGACGACTAGTGCGAGTAGCACGAACAGGCGACGCAGGACGAGACACAGGCTCACGACGCTCAGCAAGACCTCCAGTAGGACCAGCGTAGGGAGAAGGAGCAGGTAGGGGGGAGGCGGGCTGTAGCTGTGACTGCGACTGGACAGGCTATGGACACTCTAAGGGAGGAGCAGGACCAGTAGTGGGCGGGAGACCAAGAACCTGCTCAAGGAGCGGAACGAAGTACGGCCGCGGCCTCGCAGCGCCTCCAGAACCAGCAGGGACAGCACCAGTACCCCCAGCAGCAACACCAGCGCTAGCAGCACCTCCAGCTCCAACAGCGCCAACTCCAGCACCCTCCACTAGCGCCAGTAGGACCGGCAGCTCCAGTACCGCAAGCAGCTCCAGTAGTGCCTCTAGCAGCCCCAGCAGCACCCCCAGTCCCAGCAGCTCCAGAACCGCCAGTACGAGCACCTCTGGGACCAGCAGCAACAGTAGCACCTCCAGCTCCAGCAGCACGGCTCCAGCGCCGGGCAAACCACTCGCGCAGCTCCTGCGGAGAGAGTGGCTCCCGCCTCGACGAAGCACCGCGAGAGGCCACACGAGCAGACCCAGCACCCCCAGGCTCCGCACTTCAAGGCTCAGCACCCCCAGGCTCAGCACCTTCAGACTCAGCACCCCTAGTCTCAGCACCCCCAGGCTCAGCACTCCAAGGCTCCGCACCCCTGGACTCAGCACCCCCAGGCTCAGCACCTCCAGACCGGGCACCCGCAGGCTCAGCACCTCTGGCAGCACCAGAGTCAACAGCTACCTCGACAGGCTCGACTGCGTCTACCTGGGACACACCTGACGGGGCAGGACCCTGAGGGGGGAGGGGTTCTACCGGGGGAGGACCTAGCGCAAGGAAGAGCGGCGGCGGGGGGAGGGGCGCAGTGCGGTAGGGGAAGAGCCGGTGGTAAGGCACCGGCTCATCAAAGGTGACGTCCTGGGAGGACAGAACACGGCGCGAGGTGGGGTGGTAAAACTGCCACCCAGGCGCGTCAGTGGGGAAGCCAAGGAAGACGCAGGGGACAACACGGGGGGACAGCTTGTCCGCAGACAAGTCGCGGACAAACGCCCGAGATCCCCAGACCCGAAACGTAGACGCATCGCCAACCTTCCCCGTCCACTGCAGGGTGGGGGAGGTCTCTGGGAAGGAGACCCGGGGCTGAAGGTTGAGCTGATGCACTGCGTACTGAACCGCAAACGGCCACAGAAAATGGGGGGCAGCCGCATGGATCATGGACGTACGAGCGACGTCCATGACCATCCCAATGCGGCGCTCATCAATCCCATTTTGCTGTGGAGAGGCCGGAAGCGTGAAGGTCTGGCGGATGCCCTGTGCACGATCAACACCTTAGTGACGTCACCCTTACTGCGCAAGGGGAAGACTGTGGTATAACGCGAGTAGTCATCAACCACCACCAGGAAGTAACGCTCGTGCCCCTGGCCACGGATGCGGGCGGGGCCCCTCACGTCCATGTGAAGAGTCTGCAGCGGAGCCTTTGTCGGAGGAAGCTCGGAGGAGTGAGGGGCGGCGCGCTGTTGCCCCTCAACGCAGGGGATGCAGGTAGGGGCAGGGCCCGGAGGTAGGGGAGGGAGAGACCGGGGGAGACCAGAGACAAGGACACGGGAGGCCATGCCTCGGAGACGAGGCAGGGAGGGGTGACCAAGGCGGTGGTGCCAAAGGAGAGTCTGGTGGGACAGGAGACGACACGAGCAGGGAGCAGACTCAGGACCAGACCTGGACGCTGCAGCAAACACCTGACTTGACGCAACTACATGGCCAGACTCAGCAGCCGGAGGAGACTCAGTGGTCAGTGTGTACAGGCTCGACCCCGGCCGACGGGTGAACGTGGCCAAGTGTCGGCCTGTCCGAGCACACGTGTAGTGGGTCACCTGCTGACTCGCAGGAGTGAACTGGTCAACCCCCCAATCCTGCAGATCAGCTCCACTCACCAAGTTTGTAGAGAACAAGGGGAGTTAGAGACCTGACAGTGTGCTAGAGGGGGCTGCCGGGAACGGTAAGACAGTGGAGAAGCTAGCAAGGACAGGACCCCGAGAGGGGTCCGCCAGGGAGACTGCAACCGGCCGACAAAGCGGCGTAAGAGTGGTGCGGTCTCGAAAGAAGGGGCGGGAAGCACCCGATTCAAGTGTGAAGGTGTGTAAGGCCTGAGCCGACGTAGTACCTGAGAGCGCAGACTCATCAGCACCTGGGGCAGCAGACGCACTAGCACCTAGAGCAGCAGCCTCGCTAGCACCTAGAGCAGCAGCCTCAATGCCCGGGTCAGGTGGAACACACAGGTAAGAGTCACCCTCAACACTACCAGACACAGCATATATGCCAGCAAAAATAGCATCATAATCAAGATCAAAGATAGCAACCCCCGCCCTAGACAGCTCTCCCCAGCGAGGGATCTCAGAGGCCTCAGGGAACTGGTGGCTCCACGCGTCCGTCAGGCGGCCGAAGCAGCGCTGGGTGGAGTGCGGGCCCCCGCACTGCTCACCAGCGCGGTCGCCGGTATGGAGGACGTAGGTGCAGGGACCAGTGCCCCCACCGCGCTGACGCGCAGCGTACCACTCACGACTGCGCTGCTGCTGCTGGCGTGGACCACCACCGGACCCACTCCTCTACGCAGAGCCTCGACCAGCTCCACCGCTGATGCCGCCGCCTCCGCCACCTCCGCCGCCTCCGCCACCTCCGCCGCCTCTGCCACCTCCGCCGCCTCCGCTCCCTCCGCCACCACCGCTGCCTCCTCCGCCTCCACTGCTGCCACCGACACCGCCACCCCCGCCACCACTCCCACCACCACCCCCAACCCGTCCACTGCCTCCACCACCACCTCCACCGCCCCCCGCAGCCCCTCCAGCGCCCTTGCCCCCCTTGCCCTTGCCGGTGCAGCGTCTCCCGCTAGGGGCAGACGCAGCGCCGACCGACTCGAAACCAACGAGGTCGGCCGCAGCAGCAAAAGCAACAGAGGGCAAGAGGGGGGAAGGGGAACACCCCTCAAAGACGGGGGTGCGAGGGTCACCACGAGAGGCTCCTACAGTGACTATGCTCTTCTCTGCTGCTAGGAGGCGCTCCTCGAGGAGGTCAACGGTGAGTGTGGTGGGGCAAATTGAGAGGAAGTGGTCCCTGACTAAGCGAAGGGAGTCAGGGAGCCGGGTGACTATGTAGTAGAGGGTGATGTACATGGGGGGGGGGGGGGTTCTTGGCACAGAACTCAGCAGGAAGCGCAGCGCGGTAGCGAGTGTCACTAGTGCGGAGGTGGGTAAAGAGGTCAGCGACTGTGGGAAAGGCAGCAAGGTCAGGGAAGAGGTACGGTTGCATGAGGCGGCTCAGCGCAGCAGTGGCAGGGGAAGAGTAGCGTGCAACTACAGCATCGTACAAGGTCTGAGCACTCTTGTACTGGCTAAAGTGCGTGCGCTCAGTGGTCGGTAAGTGGCGACGCACAGCAAGACGGGCAGCAGCATCGCGTGTGGCCCACTGTGAGCGAACAGTGCTGTCAGCATCAGCAGGCGGGGCAGGGGAAGCACCAGAGGTGAGATCGAACAGGGAGAGTCCGTCTGCCCTATCGCATTGTAGGAACAGCTGGAGGTCATCGACCCAGACCTCAAAGTCAACAGCACGACCCTCAGCATCAAAGGTAAGAACACTGGGGGTAGCCATGACTGCAGTGGCCTAACAGGGAGTGATCTCACCAGTCCGAGTAAGTAGGGTCGGGGCGTGCCGGTAGGAACAGTAGCGGCTCGACGGCAGGGCGGCACGGCAGCTGGCTGCTGGGCGGCTCGGCGGCTCGGCGGCTCGGCTGCTGGGCGGCTCGGCTGTCGAGCGGCTCGGCTGTCGGGCGGCTCGGCTGTTGGGCGGCTTGGCGGCTTGGTTGCTGGGCGGCTCGGCGGCTCGGCCGTTGGGCGACTTGGCTGTCGGGCGGCTCGGCGGCTCGGTTGCTGGGCGGCTCGGCGGCTAGGCGGCTCGGCTGCTGGGCGGCTCGGCGGCTCTGCTGTTGGGCGGCTCAGATGCTGGGCTGCTCAGTAGAGGCGGCGACGGGGCCGGTAGAGGCGGCGATGGGGCCGCTAGGGGCGGCCATGGGGCTGCGTAGGGAGGGGAGCGGCGACGGGGCCGCTAGGGGCGGCTACGGGGTCGCGTAGAGGCGGCGACGGGGCCGTGTAGTGGCGGCGACGGGGCCGCGTAGGAGGGGGAGCGGCGACGGGGCCGCTAGGGGCGGCGACGGGGTCGTTAGGGGCGGTGACAGGGCCGTGTAGGGGCGGCGACGAGGCCGCTAGGGACGGCTACGGGGCCGCGTATGTAGGGGAGCGGCGACAGGGCCGCTAGGGGCGGCGACGGGGCCGTGTTGGGTCGGCGACAGGGCTGCGTAGTGGCGGCGACGGGGCCGCGTAGGAAGGGGAGCGGCGACGGGGCCGCTAGGGGCGGCGACGGGGCCGCTAGGGGCGGCGACGGGGCCGCGTAGGGGCGGCGACGAGGCCGCTAGGGGCCACTAGGGGGCCTGGAAGGGCGGCGAACAAGGCGCGCCTCGGGCAGGAGCGACTGACGCTCCGGTCAGAAAAAAAAAATTAGTGGTGGGCCCAAGGAAGCGTTCCCACTAGGGAGCCTGCTCTATACCATGTGAAGAAACGAGGAATGAATGAACTAGCACAAGGTTGGGTACAAGTAGGAAACCCTAGGAAGCTATTCCCCATAGTGTCTACCCCACTATAGCCTAAACAAGCTATATAATATAAGTTTGACAGTAGCAGCCTTAGTAGGCTAGGAAAACGAGGATAGAGTGCTCTGTGGAGTTCTCTGGAAATCGCACTATGACTTCACAAATTTCACAGTACAATTTTATAGAGCACATTCAAATATCGAGTCGCACTCCCAAGTCGCGACTCTCTCTGAATTTCTCAATGGTAACCCAACCCCTTTGAAATGAACCTACCGTGAAATTCAGAGAATTATTGCGGTACGGGATTGGACGGCGAGCTTGGTTACGGGGCTGTAATTTCGTCGGTGTTGCTGGCGAAGTCGGCGAGCGGTCGGAACTTCGGTGTTCTGCGTTTCGTAATTTTTGCGCGAGGGTTTGTGTTGGGCTGCGCGTCAGGACCTAGTCGTCCAGCTGCAGGTTGAGGCGTTTGACCAATACGAACAGTTGGTGAGGTGGCGCTTGACTTCCGCCCACCTGCACTGTACTTGGCAGCATTCGGCGGCCACACTATTACAGTGACCCAGCCAATAAATCCGCTCAAGCAGTATGGTGGTAGATATTATGCAGTATGACGTAGAACTAACGGTTGGGGTGAGTCAACCCATAGCAGATATTATGCAGTGTAACCTTACCATAGCACGGGAGTAATCTGCTTTTCCGATAACCTCCTGATTCCAAATCGATCTTACCGCTCTTTCTACCCTGGTATCCCTGAGCAACGACCAATCATGGGTCAGCACATCATCGGTCATGACCTTGTAAACTTTAAGCACCATCGCGAAAAAGGGTTTGGCTCAAAATCGAGTTTAAGTCTAAAGGCTGCAGGAAAGTTGCAGAAACCTACCTGAAAAGTATCCGAAAAGCACTGAGTGAAAACCGCAACATGCACCAATTTCGAATACAAGCTGGCTTCCGAGCCGTGGATTTTGGCTACGTGGGTCAGCCGGGGCGCGAATTTTGTATACGTGGGTTACCCGAGCCGCGAATTTCACACATCAGTTTTGAAACATCTTCACCGAACAGTATCTCAGAATCTTAAGCAAGGGTAGGTTTAGAAGCCATGGTTTAGGTGCCTAGGTAATCGAGTTCGAGAGAGTTAGGAAAGTATCGAGAGGTTTGGAAGAGAAGGGGTTTCACTAGGAAGGGTTGGGATACAAGTACAATACCCTAAATTGGGTTGTACTCATTACAGAGTACCCCACTGCAGGCTAGACAGCAAATATATTCTGACACACCCCCATAGCCAAAGTGGGGTGTAATCAGCAGAGCAGGCAGAGCAGTACAAGCTCAGGGTGGATCACAATGTCACCACACATTCTGAGCACAAGTTCAAGAAGCAATAGTTAAAGTGCACAATTATCAGCAAAGCTAGTGGTAGTCACAACGGGCAAGTGAGGAGGAGGAGGGAGAGTGAGAGGAGAGGAGATAGAAGGCGGCGGCTGAAGCTGCAGACACACGGGCAACAGGAGTGGCGAGCACAGTGGCTACCGGACTAAGCGCCCGGACTACAGGAGTAACAGGCCCCGCGGCTCAAGTAGCGGCAGACGGGCAACGGACCCTATGGCGACTGGCGCAGCAACAAACTCACTGGGCTACCGGACTAAGCGCCCGGACTACAGGTGCTGCGGACAACAGACTGGCAACCTCCGCTCATCCTCCCGCACACAGTCCCACCCCCCGACACACACCCGCTGCTATACCGCTAGCTCCACTCCCACCCACCCCCCCTTAAACCCTAAACCCCAGTCTCCCACACATCCACCCCCCTCAGCGAGAGCTGTAGCAGTGGGAGACGAAGGAGGAGGAGGAGGAGGGGACGGCACGCACAACCGACACCCCCACAACTAGCACCCCAACACTCACCCCCCACGGCTGCACCTGGTCCATGAGCGGCTGCTGCAGGGGCCAGGGGCGGCTGCTGGTGGTGCGGCTGCTCCAGTGGCTGCCGCTGCTGGGGCTGCTGCTGGGGCGGCTGCTGCTGCTGCTCCACGTGCTGCTGCTGGTGGGGTGGCTGCTGCAGTAGCAGCGGCTCCAGGGGCTGCTGCTGCTGGGGTGGCCGCTTCAGAGGCAGCTGCTGCTGGGGCGGCTGCTCCAGTGGCTGCTGCTGGGGCGGCTGCTCCCGGGGCTGCTGCTGCTGGGGCGGCTGCTCCCGGGGCTGCTGCTGCTGGAGCTGCTCCAGGGGCTGCTGCTGCTGGGGCGGCTGCTCCCGGGGCTGCTGCTGCTGGGGCGGCTGCTCCACAAGCTGCTGCTGCTGGGGCGGCTGCTCCCGGGGCTGCTGCTACTGGGGCGGCCCCAGGGGCTGCTGCTGGGGCGGCGGCTCCTGGAGCTGCTGCTGCTGCGGTGGCCGTTTCAGGGGCTGCAGCTGCTGGGGCTGCTGCTGCTGCTGCTGCTCCACGTGCTGCTGCTGGTGGGGTGGCTGCTGCAGTATCAGCGGCTCCAGGGGCTGCTGCTGCTGGGGTGGCCGCTTCAGAGGCACCTGCTGCTGGGGCGGCTGCTCCAGTGGCTGCTGCTGGGGCGGCTGCTCCCGGGGCTGCTGCTGCTGGGGCGGCTGCTCCCGGGGCTGCTGCTACTGGGGCGGCGGCTCCAGGGGCTGCTGCTGCTGGGGCGGCTCCAGGGGCTGCTGCTGATGGGGCGGCTGCTCCCGGGGCTGCTGCTGCTGGGGCGGCTGCTCCACAAGCTGCTGCTGCTGGGGTGGCCGCTCCAGAGGCAGCAGCTGCTGGGGCGGCTGCTCCCGGGGCTGCTGCGACTGGGGCGGCCCCAGGGGCTGCTGCTGGGGCGGCGGCTCCTGGAGCTGCTGCTGCTGCGGTGGCCGTTTCAGGGGCGGCAGCTGCTGGGGCTGCTGCAGCGGAAAGTAGGACGGAGGGGAGGGGAAGGGCGCGGCCCCCATTGTGCCCTGAAGGGTGACGTGCTAGGGAGCCGCGCAGGTCCCCGAAAGTGCCGCGACGGGCGACGAGAGGGGACCGCGCGCAGGCCCCTAAGGCGCCGCGACGAGGCAACGGGAGGGGCCGGCTCGCGAGCCCAGAAAGTACCGCGACGAGGCGACGGTCGGGGCCAGCGCGCGGGCTCCCAAGACGCCGCGACGAGGTAGGTACCCGCCGCGCGCTTCGGGGCGCACGGCGGGCAGAAAACCGCCACGCGCCCCGAGCGCGTGGCGGGAAGAAAAAAAGGTGGTCGTGCGCCACGGGGCGCACGACACACAATAGGGCAGCGGAATCGAGTGGGCCCACAGGCCAGGAGCGTTAAGCTCTAATACCATCTCAGAATCTTAAGCAAGGGTAGGCTTAGAAGCCATGGTTTAGGTGCCTAGGTAATCAAGTTCGAGAGAGTTAGGAAAGTATCGAGAGGTTTGGAAGAGAAGGGGTTTCACTAGGAAGGGTTGGGATACAAGTACAATACCCTAAATTGGGTTGTACTCATTACAGAGTACCCCACTGCAGGCTAGACAGCAAATATATTCTGATACAGTACACCTGGTCACGACCGAATCTCGGGAGTCTCCCTTGCTGGTGTATGATTGATGAACACTAGTAAGCACACGAATCACGCAGGCATTGTCGAACATTGCGAGCACAGTAACTGGGATACAAACTCAAACGAGGCTCGCGAAGGCACAACCCAGAATCGAAACTGGTAGCTGGCATACAGTTCCATGTCACGCCCAATCAAATTAAGTGTTCAGATTCTGTGTGAGTGACGTGGCTTCCCCGGATCACAGCTTAGGTAACCGGAATTGAGATATCCTCACCTTCATGTTTTTTTACTAACCAGTTACCGGTGTGATGTAGGCTAGTACCATAAATCTACGGCATCCGTGAAGACACATCATCACACTTTGGAGCTCCAGAAGCATCTCTCTTTCGAATTCACACAACACGCTAGTTGCGTAGCTCATTGTTCACACAACTTTCCCAGCTTCTTCCAGTCCAGCCTGCAGCTTGTGTCTCTGAGTAATCCTCACGCATCAACT